ATTCCCTGGTAATAGATATATAATATTAAGTTTAGTGATTTATTTACCAATATATACAAAACTATGGTTAATTATACCTATTATGTATAAGTATACATAATAGGTATAATTTTATATATACACACACACACACACATATGTGTGTGTGTGTGTGTGTGTGTGTGTGTGTGTGTGTGTGTGTGTGTATGTATGTATGTATATATATATATATATATATATATACATGTATATAGGTATAATAGAATAAAACCAACTGTAACTACTTATATCACAATGATACGATTTCAAAGACTGATTGAGACAACATTTTTGTTTTAGAAGCTTTTGTTAGAAATAATTCTTGAGTTCTTCTTTGCCCCTGGACCTGTGACAAAGAGTAAGGATTAAAAAGAAAATCTTATTATAAAGGGTATGGTTACACTAAAATCAATTTATTTTGTCAAACTACTTCTTGGGAAACAGCAAACTTAATATTACAAACATCTAGTAACAATAACAACCTAATCAGGAGCTTTAGGGAGCACTTGCTCTCATAAGCTTTCAGTAGGACGCGTTCACCATTATAACTCCGCGAATTTCAGTACAAATGATGACAAGCAACGACGATAGGCACTGTTTGCTGTTAGCCAGTTAATATTCCATAAAAAAAGGTATTATGATGATTAGACTCACCACTCAGCCCATTCTTGTCGACATAAGCAGTGGGTTCTTCAATCTTTCCTTCAAACAACACGAAGCCGTGCTGGTTATCCCTGATGAAAAAAATGAAAGGACGATCCACACGGAGCTGTACACCGCTCTGAATTAATGGTATCACCAAAGCGCCTGTAGCTGCCGCCGCAACTGTACCGGCCTCGTCCACTGTCAGGTGTACCTAAGAACAAAGGTTTTCTTTACGATTTACAGAAATAATGATCCCCGGTGTGCCTTGTACTGCTCTCTTTCAACTTTTTTTATAAGTAGAGGTTTCTGTTATAGTATGTTATACCGTATAAACACGGAAGAAAAAAACAATGAAGTGCCTTAAGCCTCGATTACTATCAGATTTTTCCATCCTCTAAGATCAGAACCGATGTAGCCAAAACTCACACATTCTTAATTTGAAAAGCTACAAAATCTAGATATTGATTGGTCGTAGTAATACCATGAATACCTATTTACCATACATGTTCTTATTCTACTATAATATAATACAATTCGTCCACGACTTCCAATTTTCTTCAGAATATTATTATTGTCTTTTCCTCGTGCTTGCTTTTCTCCTGCGTCTAATTTTTCCCCTTTTCCTAACTTTCCAACACTCTCCAGTATTAAATCATAAAAGCCTTCAAATAATGTACATATTCATGTACATATTTATGTACATTATTTGAATAAAAATAAGCATTAAAATAAATTCACAAAATGATGCAAAATTACTCGACGACTTAGCGAATAAGAACCTTTTAGTCATTATACTCAGAAACAAAAAACTATTTCAAAAATTACTGCGAAAACTTAGTTTCTCTTAGCGTTCACAGTTGTAACTAAGATCATAGAAAAATAAGTGGGCACCTTATGATAGATATTGTTGATCACAGGAGCGTCACCGTCAAAAAAGCTGGTAAGATTCGCTCTTGACGAAAACAACGACGTGATGCGCATCTGAAATTAATTAGTATATTAATTTAAATTAAGGAAAGACATACTATTGCCTTATTTTTCTATTATTAGTATTGGCTTCTTTATGCTGCTGTTGATCTGTATCCTAAACTATTTTAACAATATCGCCCAAAGATAACAATACTTGACAATTCAATTATAATGCATTTTATCTAAATGCATTTACTATTCAATATAAAAGTCGACTGCCGTATTCAAAACTAAAGTCATTCACTAATAAATAACTGAACTCATTCATTCATGCAATCGTTGAAATATTAAACCTCGTACCATGATTATAAAGCATCGCAGAGCTCCCTGACGCACTCTTTTTTCATTCATACAACCAAGTATATTTCCTCACAGGCAAGGAACAATAATTAAACGTACTTCAACTGCAACGTCGTCAGATCTAAATCACATCATTGACATAAAAAAATATAAGATAGCATGCATACACGTTACACAATACATACATTCCTAAGGGATGTGACTAAATCATCGCTGTACTCGACATTGAATCTCGGCATGATCAGCGTGACGTCGTTGGTCTCTAAATGCTCCACAATTTGTGGAATGCTCACGTACGGAAGGTCTCGGATCAACGTGGACAACCCTTCGCGATCTTGAGGCACAACGATAAGCATTGAATAGCGCCCATCCTGGAAACCATATTGGCACGTGTTAAATAGTTCATCGAAAGTGAATTTGCTAATGTCGAGAAATAACATTAGATGGAAGTGTTTTCATCATTATTAGTCTTAAAACTTTATGCTGAAATTAGCTCAATGATCAATACATATAAAAATCTTGACGAGTCTGTACTTTTAATATTTTGTAGTAAAAGTCAGTGCTATGCCTAGTGAAGATACACAGTCTACTTACGTGGACTACGGTACAATGACTAAAAAAAGGCCAAAAACCGGGAGGTAAATACTATTTAAATATGCTATTTGTTGTAAGTCAAAGCCTATCTATTACGGAATGTATATTGTAAGTCTACTTAAAAGGACTGTGATAAATTTTTCTCAGTGCTTAGGTAGAATAAAACCTTAAAGTTTTTATTATTATGGTACTTTTTTAACATTAAAATTTATCGAGTTCTTAGGTTTTCGCGACTGTTACACATATTAAAGGGAATTATTTTTTCGGGTCTAAATCGCGTATATTTGTTTTTTCAAACAAACCAACGTTTGACGGGCCTTGACAGATCTCAATAGTTATGTCTACTATTTTTTATTAAAATCTTAGTATTTGAAGCTAGTGTTTCGTAGTGTTTCGTTGAATATTTCTTAATTGAACCAGAAACTTACGTCATAAGGAAGCTCAACAGCATGTGCCCTTAAGTTGTCAACATAGGCGTAGTTAAGCTCTGCGTATAATTCCATCATCGCGACGGTGCGGCAGGCGCCGTGATTGTAGAAACAACCACCACGGGTCGCACGCGGGTTGAACGAATGCCGCCATACACTCTTGAAGTAAAGCGCATTGACCAGTAAAATGTCGGTTGCTGGGTGGATGTGCACTGTAATTAATATGGTTGTAGGATTCGCGTAATACACGAAGTAGAGATGTCAGGACAAGGGCTTTGGGAGTACCAAAAGTACTGTATGAGCAGGAAATGAAAAACTAACGAGAATGAGAATCATTATTTGTATATTTTGCTACATTTGGTTTATTTCTACTGATACAAGTGCCATTCACGAGTTTCTGAAATCAATTTAAAGTAGGTTGCTTAATATCGGGTTAGTGATAATGATTAAAAATTATTCTTTGTTGTAATTAATAACAGCTGTTACAAGGATAGTGTAATAATTTACATTTTAATTATTTCTGCCGCTAAACAGGCTTAAAAGTTTAAAAAGTATATTTTATATCGGTGTAATTCATTACAAAAAGTGAAGAAAATGAAAATCTAAGTTATTTTTATATTGTTACTGGATCCTTATAATTTTTGTTTTTGTTTTCTTAAAAATGTTTGAACTTTCTAATTACAGTATCCATGGCTACGATAATTAGATCTAATTACCGTTTCCATACAATATTTGTGTCTTAATAACTCGAAAACCACTTTGGCTATTGTAAAGCCATTTAGACATATAGATAGTTAAGCTTAAAGTTGTTCATGTTTCATTGTTATTGGGTACATTATGCGAAAAACACAATGGCGGCAATTAGGCTGAGAATACCGAATGTGAGAATGGCCTTGGAATGGATTCGACCCAGCGCCTTCCAGCAATCCGAGCTAGACACTCTGCAACTAAACCACGGAACGAACTAGCAGACCTAATCTTTCCTATGTGCTTGTTATAGGTCTTTAACGACTTTTTTGCCGTAGCAAAATATCATTGCCTAATTAAGAAGTTATTTATAAAATAATTGTTTGTGTGTATCATTACGGAGTATGTGTGTGTGCGTGCGTGCGTGCGTGCGTGCGTGCGTGCGTGCGTGCGTGCGTGCGTGCGTGCGTGCGTGCGTGCGTGCGTGGGTGCGTGCGTGCGTGCGTCCGTGCGTGCGTGTGCGCGTGCGCGTGCGAGTGCGAGTGCGAGTGCGAGTGCGAGTGCGAGTGCGAGTGCGAGTGCGAGTGCGAGTGCGAGTGCGAGTGCGAGTGCGAGTGCGAGTGCGAGTGCGTGTGCGTGTGTGTGTGTGAAATACGTAAGCTGCAGCCGAAGGATGTAAAAAAAACCAAAAATTTTTATAAGCTATTTAATTGGAATACAATATTCACAATTGCAATTCAAATGTATTAAAACTTAATTATATGATTATGTGACAATCGCTCGATGTGAGAACAGAAAGTGCTTTATTTCCGAAGCGCCGGGCGATGCGCGGCGTGGTCACGTTGCACGTTGTCAGCACTCGTGGCCGTTGCACGTTGAATTTCCAGAATTAAAGTAGGTTGAGGTAAATTGCACAATCGGCGACATGCGCGAGGCGTAGGCATGTAACACCTCCTTCCTGAAGATCAGCGACTATTTAACAGTTTCGGGAAAATAACGCTGATATGACTGGGTTCTTATGAGCTTTTTTGTCTTCCTGTATTTCAGCATAGGTTCCTGGTTACGGTTCATTCTTTGAGGCGAGTGGCATCAAGGTAGTTTTCTTTAGGTAACTTCTTAGGATAAGACCAATGCTTAGTGCACTTACACTTAACAAGTTAGCATATACCGGTATTGTAGTATGGTATATGACGTCATTCTGATAATCGTTGTTAGAGAGCGGGGC